TGGCCGGTCACAAAAAGAACAATAAATAAATAAATAAATAAAAATAAAAATAAAATTAGAAAAGGAATTGTCAGGTATGTGGATAAGCAGTGGACCAGTGTCAGTTGACTAAGTTAATTGGGATGTTCCCATCTATGTACTGGAATTCTCAGTTTCTCAAGCCCTCTGTCCAACTTTTCTGCCCTGCTAGAGACAGGTGAGGGGCTCAAGCTCCTGTCCTTCCTTCTTTTTTTTAATTGTGGTAACATGTGTAACATAAAATTTGCCATTTTACATTCTTCCTTCTTATTAGGCTGACATGTGGTTAGCTACCTGGAAAGTCTTCTCCCCGTGGAAAGCTATCCTTTCACCTCCTCACCTTTTCATGCCCTCAGAGCTCCTTCAGAGTAGCTTGTGCTTTCCCTGAGTGAGCCTCATTTATTCATTTATTTATCTTATCTGGTCATCTCAACTTTACTTATTTTTTGTTGTTGTTGTAACTTAGTCGATTGAACATACCTTTGGGGTACAGAGTTGAATATCAATACCTGTGTGCCATATGTGATGCTTAAATCAGGATAATTAATATATTCAGTGATATACGGTGTAATTGTTTTTCATGGCCTTTTACCAACTCCTCTCTTACTTTACTCCCTGCCCCTTTCCCACCTCTGGTAACCTCAGTTCTGTTCTCTCCTTTTGAAAGTTCAAGGTATTATTGTGATTGTCGTATCTTTCTTTCTTTCTTTCTTTTTTATTTATTTGTTTATATTTTAGCTCTTACTTATGAGTGAGGACATGTGGTATTTCCCTTTGTGTGCCTGGCTTATTCACTTAACATAATTTTCTTTAAGTTCATCTATGTTGCTGCAAATGGTAGTATTTTGTTCTTTTTTATGGCAGAGTAGTATTCCATTGTGTATTTATACCACATTTTCCTTATCCCATTGTCTGACGATGGAAATTTAGGTTGGTTCCAACTCTTGGCTATTGTAAATAGAGCTGCAATAAACATGGGAGTGCAGGTATACCTTCGACATGATGATTTCCATTCTTTCGGGTATATACTTAGCAGTGGAATTGCTATATCGTATGACAGTTCTATCTGTTGTTGTTTGAGAAATCTTCATACTGTTTTCCATAGTGGCTGTATTAATTTACAGTCCAACTAACAGTGTAGGAGGGTTCCACTTTCTCTGTATCCTTCAGAGTGAGCCTTCTTAAGAGCTCCTTGAACACAGTGGTTGTGCCCTCCTTTGGTCTGTGCCCAAGCAGTATAGCCCATGTGTATTTTTTAAGATTATGTACTGCAGTCTTCTGAGTGCTTTATGTTGTTTTACCTTTTCACTTATTTTCTTTGCGTGATCTCTCCAACTACATTGTCAGTTCCTGGAGGGGAGTAACTGCCTTGTACCTTATCTCTTCATTATTCCTGTTACAGTATTTCATCCACAATAGCAATTGAAAAATTTCTTGGATACTTGTGGATTTTGTTAATTGTTGATGACAGTAGCTACTGCTGTTGGTGTGAACTAGATTTCCTAGTCCCTGCTGTACATTCTTCTCTATTTGATGAAAGGGCATTATTCTGGCCCTTAAGACTGAGAAGAGAAGGTGCAAAAATAACTTAAAACAAAGATGAGGGAATAAAAAGAGACAGAAGAGAGTTGAAACAGAAGGAAAAGGTTAAAGAGAAAATTGGGCAAAGAGGAAAATAATCCACAAAAATTCAGATGGAGAGAAAGACAGATTTTTTTTTTCTTCCCCTAGACCTCACTAAGGAGTGTGTTAACACCCATTTTCTTTCTCAGGCTGGGCAACAAGGATTGTGGCTCTTTTGGTGGCTTGGCCATATATAAAGGGACTCAGAGTTGTTTTAAGTGTTTCAGGAACTTGGCCAAAGAGGCTGAGCAGAAGCAGCTTTGTTAAGAATAAAGGAGAAAGAATCATGTAGATTTTCTCTTCCAGGCTGGATAAAGAGCAGTATTGTTTTTATTTTGGTAATTAGTATTTTTTGAGGATGGGAGAGAATGACTTAAGTTCTGATTTTACCCAGTGGTGTTCATTGGTGCATTGACTACTCTAGCTCCCTTGTTGCACATGTCTCTGAAAGTGGAATCAATAATGATAGTCACCCAGATCACCACTGATATCCCTATCAGTCATAGTGCTGCTTGCACAATTCTGTGGCATATTGGTATATTTAATTATTTTGTATGATTTGGGTCCTGTTTGACTTGTGGAAAATGTTACATGTGTACATAATTTAAAATTATGGCCCTTTGAACATCTATGAATAAAAGCTATCTGAGTGTGAGGAGTGGCTTAAATTTTTCATTGATACTCATGTCTATGTTAGTTATTTTGTTGTGTCCTGGCAGTTGCCTATGAATGAGCATAAAGTTAAGCCTTTTATTGACTTTTAGGATTTGAAGTTTCTTAAATAGAAAAATCCCAGTTGTATGGGACATTGGGCTTTTAATTTAGTGAGGGCCCTGATGTCAGAGGGAACTTCCTGTATGTGTTCTGGGATCAGTCCTTGAGTAGGATTATTAATTGAGAAAGGAAGGTGCCTAGAAAATCTGATAAGGCTAAGGATAGAAAACAGAGAAATGCTTATCTGCTATTGGTGGGAGGAGGAAACTACTGGTGTTCAAAAAGTGGCAAAACACAAGCATTGTTTGAGAATGAGTTATCATCCTACCCAAATGGAATAGTCAGGAGGGATAAGATTGCTAAGTGAGGCATTGTTTTGTAGGAGGGGGAAAAATCTTATGAGTAGGTATTTTAATGGTCATGTATGAGTCTTTAAAGAAAACAGTTGCCTTTTTTACATACTATGTTTTTATGTAAAACTTATATAAAAATTATTTTATTATTGTTATAGATGAAAGAGGTCCTTTTTTTCATAATAATAGGCGCTCTTATTACAAAATGTTGCAGTAGTTGGGCAAGAAGAGTTTTGTCAGTTATTCACTGAATCCTGTTAATACTGTTCCATGGGACTCTTGCAGCATTTGCTGACAACCTGTTTGGGAAGAGGCTCAGTCTTGGTAGAGCCCTAGACAGAGCTTAGGCAAGGTCATGACCATAGAGCCAGCTTTTGTTAGTGATAGGCCGTAAGTGTCTCCCACCTCGTGTGCTACTGTCAGCATCACGATAGGAGTATGGACAGGAGAAGCAAATGTTGTTCAGGGCCCCACCTAGTTGCTTCAGGAGGAAAAAGAAATGGGCTACTTGAAGCTAGATCTAGTCTAGGAGCTATAGTAGGCTACCTGAGTTTTGTGTTGAGATAGGAGGACCTCAGAGGTAGAATTGAAGGGCTGTTCAGGTTGCAGAAGTTCAGGCACCAC